TATAAGTGGAAAACAAGAGTGGAAGATCAAAACAATGACACTTTGTTTCACCCTGCCCGGCTGCAAACAAACAATGTCGTGAAACGGGAGAATAAGAACCCAGAAGATCAGTAAACGGCGAAGAGATATTGGAAATTAGGAATGACTACGGTTCACGAGCGACTGAGGTAGAGGTCTTTCTGTCCACGCTGTCGCACTCACAGCTACGGTAAACTAGTACCACGCTCTTCATGACTATCTGCATTGGATGCCAAAACAATGCAAGACATTAATGGATCGATATGAATTCCCAACTCCGGTTCATCTGTGCGTGTTTCATAAGAGCATCATAAGAGCCAAGCGACGGTTAAGAAAGGTCGATTTTAAGCTCCAAGGCCAAACTGCTGTAAGGAATGATGATCTATGACTTAGTGTAGGGGCTCTGCCAACCATTGCGCTATGCGCCCAATGAAGTGTATCGTTAACGTTTTTGTGAGCACACAATGTCACACGCATTTGCAAGAATAAACAATTCGATTAAACATGTCCTGACTTTCTATCCCGAAATTGTTCATACTTGTGTCGGCGAGGATCGTGTGGAACACAGTTCGCACGGATGGTTGACAGACAAAATATACCTCAAAACGTATGAACGCTGAACAAAATAACTTAAATATAGCATATTACTTATGCGAAGTTGCAATGCCGACCAGTTTGAAACACCGCTCTACATGAAGGCATACACAGTATTGTTCGGGCTTTCAGCTGAGCTGTTTTAATTAAACTAGTGAAGGAATCACTATGGTGTACATCCGTTCAATCAATTATCAACGTTTCTATAGATTCCGTCGAATTTCAGATAAAAACTAACCCCTTACGCATCCTTTTCTTTGTAAATCACGACTTTTTAAACAAGCAGCAAGAATCAATGGAAAATATAGGCGCTACGGTTTATGCTCTGTAATAATGCAACAGATGATGGCTACCAGTTTCGGGTTGCATGCATATCAAACGATCTCGGTCAAGATTCGATGTTAGGGGAAGCACTTAAAGGATCTTGCGCGTAGAACTCAAACGCGTGAATAAGTACTGAGTACCTGTTCAGCTGCCAAAGTGGTGGCCTCAGCTTCGACAGATAAGTAGGGGTTTGAGAGGTAACGTTCATTTTGCTGAGTGAGTAACAGTTCGTCCATAAAAGCTGCCTTGCGTGCACCGGTAAGTCGAGGAATTTTTCTGCGCTTTCCACCCCAAAGTGAGCCGGGTACACTCCTCCAGGGGATAAAACGGCCGAGAAGGGAGAAACTCAGGCGCATCCGG